TGTAACGCCCGTGAACCAAAAAGGAGATTTTTTTGGGAATGTGTGTCGATCGACACGGGTTGTTTGTTCTCATGAGGAATCAGACAGAGAAGTCTGTGTCGATCGACACAGCTAGTGTGTGTCGATCGACATGGGTTAAAATCAGACCGAGAAGTTTGATTTCTGATCGTTTCGATTTGGGCCGGTTTAGGAACCCTAGGGTTTCGTTATATAAGCGTGGGGAACGCGTTTTCTCTTTTTTTGGCCGAAATCAGAAGAGGTTGAGAGAGGAAAGAGAGTGTTTATGTGAGGATTGTGAGAGAAGTGATTTCCTTGAGAGAAAATTAATTCTGGTCGGGTTTTTGGAAGAGACGATCGGCTGGGAAGATGGAATCGGATTAGAGTGAAACTTTAAGGGTAAGTTCTCCACTCTCTAATCTTGATTCAGGAGGAAACGGTTTGTAAATCGGATGTGTATTCTAAGAGTTATCATTTTTTTCCGAGAGAGGTTTCTGAAGTTTCGTGTCTGCGATCAGTCTGCTTCGAGGGAGGATTCCCGTCGAACCAGAAAGAATCAGGAGACGATCCATATGCCGTTGGAAAGACCTCACTGTCTAGTTTCTAGATCAGGGATTCGGAGGTAATCTCCGTTCTCTTTGTTCTTTCGATTTCAGGGTGTCGTTTCTGAAATCTCTGTTTTTCCAGTTCCGATCANCGAGATTGCGGGCTGTTTTCCNNTTGAATCTTAGGGACGCAGAGGACGATNTANATACCGTTGTGTAGATCTCTCTGTCTAGTTTTCAGAACAATTTTCTGATTCTGTTTCGGAGCTGTGGTTGGTGAGATAACTGATTCCGAAATCAAGGTGAGTGCGCGACCATAGACCCTCGGAATTAGGATTTGATGGAATATCATTGATTGCTGTTGTTCCTGGTTGTATTCGTGTTTAAATATTGAATTTTGTGCAGGAGATCGATGAAAACGCGTCTGGAATCGATCCATGAGAGGATATGATCGATTCTGGTTTTCTGCGTTTTCTNGGCTCNGTGTCGAGNGACACACGGTGTTTGTGTNGAGCGACACAGNGTGTTTGTGTCGATCGACACGCATTTCTGATTGCCGCAGTTTGACGTATTGATCGTTGTATTTTGCGTGTTGTTTGATAATCCTGATATTGTATCTATGCTATGAC